GGTACTCCGTGGAGTTATGGATTTTTTTTTTAGGAATTTTTATAAGGATTTTTTAGGAATTGTTAGGAATTTCGTCAGAAATTTCGGAAAATCATTAGCACCCGAATTCCTCGGTTAGCCACCTAGATGCTATTGCAGAAGAATTAAGCATTAGTTACCACAGATTCTCGAAATGATATGCGCTGCACTTTGGCCAAACAATTCTCCATTTGCTCATGCGAATAGAATGACGTCCATTCACGCGGATCACTTGACGGAGCGTTTGGAAAAGACCTATAAAACTGCGCTTTTCGCATATAAATTCATTCCGAAAAAACCGCTTTCGTCATTGCATAGATGCAAAAAACGCATAAAAACAGATCTAACAACCGATCTGCAACTACAAATCGTCAAGATGTCTTAGCAGGGTATCAGAGTGAAAATGTTTGAGACAGGGTACAGATGCTCAACAAATATCAAGCAAATTCCAAGGAGCCATCGCCTTGCAAGCGTTTCTTCCGGAAGGAAAATTAAATTGGTAATTCCTGAGACAAAACAAATATCGGGATCGCCAGCAAGCCAAAACTGTCAAAAAAAAAACTGAAAAAGTTCCCAGCTGCATAAATTGGAGAAACGGAACGCGAAATACAACCTGATTCTATTATTCCGAGTAATCTTTTTTGCTGTTGAAAAAAGTGATCAAAACTCACATGAATAAATCCGGTTTCTTCCACGAATTATCTTTTATTTCACGATCAGCGCGATCAAAAAAATCTAGCAGTTCTTCCATAACTAATCTGAAAAATTTTAGTAAATAATGATTTGCGCACAATATGACAGCTTAAAAGTTGGAATCACTTTCGCATTCTCACTCTCGACCAGGTTTAAGCACTTGAAATTATTCCGAAGAACCATGCATAACAAGTACCAAGAACCACACTTTTGAAGGCTATCGACTGCCTCATCTTTTGAGAACTAATAAACGCAAGTTGATGGCAATTTTCATTTCCTGACATGCACCAATGTTCGAAATTACGAATGAATTGTAGAAGGACTGGATACGGTGAACGAAACCTTTTTTCAAGAATGGTTGTGGGCCCGGGAGGGAATCGAACCATTCCTCCTCACATTCAGATGCAACGTGTTATCCACTACACCATCGGTTCTTGTGTGCTTAAGCTCTGCCTGGTTGCACATCTACTGTGTATCTGCCTTTCAAGGTTTTTCTGG